TCAAAATCTCTGTCTCGTGATGTAACACAAAGCTCCTAGGTGTGACTCACAGATAAGGACAGTCAGGTTACCCAGAATGGTTTGAAACTGGCTTTCAAGTCATTCTCAAATATTTAATATTGCAGCTGATGACAATGACAAATGACAATGCCCTGCAAAGGAATTTGATCCACTAATCCGAGATGCAAAGCAAGGAGACAGCAAAATGAAACTGGTTACTTTTTAATTATTTTTTGCCATAAGTGTTTGATCCACTGGTGCTTATTGATAGAATTGGCTGAAATAAGGAGTGCTGAAATATATACAAAATAAGCTACACTATTTCTAGCCACACCAAAAATACTTGGAAACCAAAGCTTAGCATGCAACACTCTTCTCACTAAGTTTAGTTGAAGATCAAAGTCAGATTCAGCTTTTGGGAACTCTTGGTAGTTTCCAAATGAAATTTCTAAACTTTATAAGGTTTGCTCATTTTCAGGCATCCTACTCCAACCATGGCAGTGGTGAAACTTTTGGAAAAGGTAGCCCAGGATTCACCTTGCATGGAATAATGAATAATAAAGAAAAGCATAAGGAATAATAAAGAATACATGGCGCTCCAAAAATTACAAAATACTCTGCAGATTAACACATGAGTAGTTTTAAATGTGAAATCACATGGTGTGATTCTTGTGGCTGCCCCATGCAGGGCCAGAGTTGGACTTTGATGAGCCTTGTGTGTCCCTTCCGGCTCAGAGTATTCTGTGATTAATTCTGAAGGTAATTAACAGACCCCGCAGGTTCTGTTCCACAAGTCTGTGATGTAACAGACTTGTAGAAATAAAGTAAGATCTTGAAGCCAGCTTTTGTTTTCCTTATTTTGCTCATGCTGGGTATGAGAACACTCAGACATTTTGGGAAGTAGCCAAGAACCATTTCTGTAATCTACAGATTTTTTTAAAAAAATAAATTAATTCCCTCATAGTTAGGGAAATAAATAACAAAACAAACATCTTCTCCCAATATTGCATCTTTCTAAGGTGCAAGAAATCCTAAATCCATGAGGTTTTTTAACGTTTCCTCAAGGCTTCTCCTCCTCCCCACTTGTTTCTTTTTATCTTAGCTATATCAAAAATGGCCATTTTAGCAGGCAGGAAAGTTCACCTTTCCCTAAAGCCGATTAACCAAGGGAACTTTTTATCCTTGAGGTATAGGAGGTCCCTTCTTCAGTTTCAGTGTATCTGGTGTCTTCTAGTGCCCCCACAGAGGCCTTTTGCAAAGGCAAACTGAAAGTGTCCAAGTCAACAGGAAGCAAAAAACCTGGGATAAAAAAGGTGCCTGCAGTACCTTTGAACCTTTCTCTGTGTATTTTTAAGAGAGCTCTCTAAAAATGAAAAGGGAAAATCTCACAATAGCTGAAACAGAGCTTCAGAGCCTGAAGACATTTAATATCTCAGCATTAACTATTCATTATGAGGCCATGATGGATAGGTTCAATAAATGATGAAATAAGTTGTTGAGAAGCCAAACCAAGAGTACTGGAAATAAACATTCTCTTACCCAGATCAACCACAGACTCACACATTTGCTGTTGAAGACCAAAATGCTCTTAGCTCACTGAAGGCTCTATGTGGACATCTAGAGCCTCATAACCATTTTTCCCAGGTTGTGGGAAACGGCTTTCCCATTTTTCTCTTTTTCATTCCTTTTCCTTTCTCTGATGATCGATCTTCATCTCCTTTGTCAGCCTCTGAATGACAAAATCTGTACTAAAAATGACACTGAGAGCTGGATGATTGAGATTGTTCACTGATGATTCAGATCAAACCATGTGTGGCATGGAACGCGTACATGAAAATCCTGCATTTTATCACATCAAGAGATTGCAGTTGTCACAGGTGAGCAGAGTACAGCAGATCATTTTTCTAGGAAGGAATATGTTATAGCAGTGATGCTGTTAGGTGTTGAAACAAGTGTTCCATGTATTATCAGCTGACAAGCAAGGTGAGAAGATCCTCAAATTTAGGTACAGTTAAAAGCCCAGCACAGTCAAAGCTTTATATCCCACTTCCAGATATTCTTAGAGCCATAATTATTTGTCTCATGTAACTTAATAAAAACCTAGTAAGTAGAGAAGAAAAAGCATGGAATGCTTTTAAAAATAGCATGGAAAATTTAGAAGTAACTGATATTTCGTTGCAAGTACAGTTGAAATCACCTTTCTGATTACTTACAGCTTGTTGTTTTCTCCCTAATAATGTAGGACTGGCCCTAGGAAACCACTTTTATGGCTGACATGCTTTTGTGTCTTGGGGTCCTTTGAGGTTATGGTGTTTATTTGTAAGAAGGGCTGCTTTGCAGGTTTTTATATTGCCTCAGATGTGTTTCCTGTAGACCCTGGGGCTGTCAAAGTCTGCTGTGAGGACCAGGATTTCCATCATGAGGCTTCTCCCAGCTACCTGAAGCAGGCCTCACCCACTTCTGCCTGGTGGAAGAGGCTGCAAAGACCCCCACCACAACACTGCCATGCCTGTCCCAGGTGCTGAGCTGCAATGAGACCTTTGGGAAGAAACTGTACAAGCCCTCAGACAAACCTCTGCTCACTCTGCAGGACCAGGCAGGGGGCTGCTGCCAGTCAGGCCCCTGTGGTTTGCCAAAGCCCCATTCCATGGCTGAGCTATAAAAACAGGCTGCACCTGATAAAAACTGCCCATGGGCAGTTGCAAAGTGCTTTTAAAACTCTTTGTTAGGGTTGTTTCACCTGTAAAATGGACAACCTGGATCAAACCTGGAAGCGTATGTCTGACTGACTCACTGAGACTTGCAATGGTGCAAAGGATTTGCAAAGGATTGCTTGTCAGCTCTAGCAAGGTTGTTCTTTAAATATCTGATTTTAGCCAGCACTTCACTTGAAAACCTGAATTCTTGAATACCATCCTACAGTTTCAGAAGAAAGAGAAGGATACTGAGGAAAAATCTTCGGAGATACTTCTTTTCCGTGTGTACGAATTCAAACTATAACTGAATGAAATACTAACACTCATGCAAAATGCAACATATAATCTGAATTATGGCATGGTTCTACGGAGCCTTGGGAGATCTAGTCCAACCTCCACGAGAAAGTTTAAACTACAACCCATGCAGATGGAGCTTTGTATCCAGGAGGGATGTGATATCTGTGGACATATTTGGCCACTGAAGCAGATGAAGCAGATCTTGCCATGCCAGACCTTTTGCTGGTTTTGTGTGTTTGTTGTTTTTTTGCTCAGGGTGATGTCTGGACTGATGGGAAGTATGGTTTTCCTACTGCTGCTGTGTTCACTCCACAAAAAAAGCATTTTTCTGGCATAGCACACGAGTGGTCCTGGTGACGTAGACATGGCCTGCAGCTAAAATGATCAGCTGGTCACACACTTGAAAAGCTCAAAGTTTGTGTGCAGACCACAGTGCTTTCCTTTATTTGTTACTAATAATAAAGCAATAATAACATCAGATTTGTACCTTAAGCACAAATGAATAATAGAAGATAAATGATCCTGAAATATTTTTCAAAACTCAGAGGATAGTTGCCTCATAGCAGAAAATAAAAAGGCTTTTATAACCCCAAATATGTTTATTAAGGGGTAAAACAATACTCCAGGCCATGTTATTTCAAATTAATGGGGCCTTTTAACACACACATTTCTTGATATATCTTATTTGTATCTGCTGGAGTTATATAGAGCTGTGAAGCATGGCCAGAAGTGTTACTCTGCAGAGAAATCTCTGCTGGAGAAGCAGCAGAATTTTTATAATTTTCATTAACTAAAATGAATGGGGGAAATCTCCAAAGCAAGTTGGCAAATGGTTTGTTTTTCATAAATCCCATTTTCCTGGAAATAAAGATCCATTAATCAGCAAATGCTGCATCATGAAGGAAACTAAAGCCTAATAAAAAAAAAACCCAAAAAATATCCTGTCTAGACATGTAGATCTGTGCAACAAGGGAAGCACAACCTTAGCACTGGGGATCCAGCTAAATATGTCATGAATGAAGAGAGGCCAGTGATGGCAGACATCCTATCTGAGTGGGAATGGAAATAAACTTTACTGCTAGAAGCTGTTTTCACACTAGAGAACTAATACAGCCAGTGTGAACACACACACACACACAAAGTATTTCATTATGAAATTAATTAATTACACCACATACAGCCTGGGCCTATGTAAGGCATCAGAACTGAACTTTGATCAATTGAACAGCTTTGTGTTTTTAACACTGTTCAACATCCAACATGGCTCTCAGGGCCATTTTTGAAATATTTTTCAGGTGGTTTGCAGTCTGTTTTTCATAGACTGAGCTGTCACAGTGACTCAGTAGGATTCTGCAGAGCAGTCAGTTTTACAATCAATACAAACAGCTGTAGGGGGATGTATCTTCGGAAGAAAGAAGAAGAAAAACCAACCCCATCTTCAAGATTTATAATTTTCTTTTTAGAATTCCAAGCCTTTTTCACTTTTCTTTTTCCATAAGGTCTACACAGAGGTTGCCTTCAACAAGCACATCATCTGAAAACATCTGAAAGTATCTATAAAGTACACTGAATTACTCAGTTTCAGAGGATACCTAATCCAAAGGCAACCTTTAAAAAGCCCAGAAAGGCAGCTGAACTTATCCTTCTCAATACGATTTTAAGATATCATAACCATATAAATTGCATAAATATGCATCCCTTGCATGTTTTTTTTTTTTGGTCTGGCATCTATTTTAATGCTTTTTTAAAAAGTATATTTAGCTGCATTAAAAATATATATCGACCCCTCAAGATGAAACCTCACAAAATTTCTGGCCTGGGAGGAGTTTGGAAAAAGCACATTGTTGCAAAGGTTTACACGAACATCTCCTTAAAAAATAAAAAAGAAAATCCCTCGTATCTGTTATTAAAAGCATTTAGTGATGGAGACTCCATAGATTTTCTCAGAAATGTTTCAGAAATTCACTATTTCTTGATACCAGTTTCCTCACTGTCATTTATACTCACTTTTATCTCATCTGCCACAGTCCTGGAGAAAGACAGCTTCCCTTCCTCTTTGCAAGAGTGTTTTACATATCAGAAGGTCTGTTATTGCCTGTTTTCAGGACCTTTGATCATTCTTGCTGCTTTCCTCTGCACGAAGAGCACTCAGAGTTTATCCTACTGAAGTGGAGGACTTTTGATCTCTCAGAACTATTTGAAGTGGCAGCTGATGTCAAACATTAGCTTGCTATAAGCTGTTTACCTGTGTGCGTTGTATCGCAGAACGGAGACACCAGTATTTGGCCAGGACTTCTGGACACCACTGTAAGGCCCTAAATAGATTTAGTAGCAGCAAGCCCCAGAGGAACTTGACTGAGAATTTGGAGACTGTGAATTTTCCTTCTATTTCTGTCCTTGACCATGGTGCTTTTATCTCCAAGTATCTGCTTCCTCTGTCAAACCTCCCACATGCAAATGGTGCGTAAGAACCAGGCATTACGTTTGAAGTTTCAGCCTGCTGGAAACCTTGGATTTTCAGCTGCAAAGCATTTCTGGAATATACTGCAGAGATACAAGTTCACTCCATTCCAGGGCCTGCAAAATTAATGATCTGTCCAGCCTTAGTTTAGATGGAGATGAAGTCGTGCATTGAAGTTGCCTTAACAGCCGCTGGTAATTTGTTGTTCGCTACAAGAGGCAGGGGCAGGGAACCAATTAATTCATTCAGGAAAGGAATCGATTGCTCCCCTAAGCACATGTTTACCCTTGTAAAGAGCAGTTTACAGAGCAGGATGCTTCACAAGGACTTTGGGGAAAAGGAGAACTTTTAATTGCCTGACCATTTACATGTTTGGGACGCTCACATTCTCTTGCTCCCATTGACGCCAAGAGGCCAGAGCGCCCAGGGACTGTAAAGTTACAGCATAATTAGTGATTGCTAAGGAAATACACTTTGTAAAATAATTGTTCATATCACTTCTTCTCTATTGCCCCTCACCCCTGGTAGCCAATGGATTTTAAATAGAGAAATTTCTAGACAGAAAATGTTTAAGTTTTCCAAAGACTTTTGACGAAAACATCTCCCTTCACAAGAAGCTATTGAAGAAATCTGGCAGTCAGCACGGATAAAAGTTGTGGCACAGTTTGAAACTGGAGACAGAAAGGATTGGATGTCAGCAGCCATTTCTCACTGTTGACAGAGGTTAATACTGGAGTGACCTAGGGACCAGCCTCCGTACTGGACTGAGGACATTCAACCCACAAATTAATGAATTGAAAGGAAAGGTGAACAGCAAGGTGACTATGTCCCCTTGATTATTCTAGATTCTTGTGGCCACTAAGGATTACAAGAAACTTTGGAAAGACAGAGCAAAGACCTGGGGAATGTGACAGATGTAATGAATCCACAGACAGCTACAATTTTTGCCACTATGATAAATTAAGAAAGGAAAATTTGCTTCTTCTCCTTAACAGCAGTTAAAATATTGTCTCAGGGCTATCATAATTTTGCTGTTGCTGTTAGGCCACATTTTCTGCTGTTTCAGCTCTCTTCAGGACCAGGTGAGAAAGTAGTGCTAATGCAGGAAAAGAGGTTGGGTCTCAAATCACGATGGTGGGGGAGGCAATTCTGCTTTTTCAGCAGCACATTTTACTTTAACTGTTTCATCAAACTGCAGCACAAATGCATTGCCTGAAGATCAAACAAAATAACAAGGATATTGGCTCTCCTGAATCCAGAGACGGCCACTTAATCATTTAAACATCATTCTTCTCAGCAGGGGAAAGCACTGAACAGCAATATCCTCCTGGCTGCCCACGGTGTCTTTCTGTCCACCGTGTCCTTCTGTGGAGATCTGGAATTCTCCCACCACTGCTGCAAGGACAGAAACACATTTGTAGAAGCCAGGACGGCTCATGCCGCTGTACCTCACACCTGCTGCACAAGGATCCTTCACACCAGACCCCGATATGTTACCCTTTACATGGATTTTCCTCTCCCTTCAGTGTGGTTCATCAAAGCTCCTCAACCAAGGCCAGCAAGACCAGAGACTAAAGTCGGTGTTTAGCAGAGCTTAAAGCGACCCTAGAGGTGACAGCTGTGAAAAATGAAGTCATTTGCAGCCACCCCACACAGGCACTCCTGCCACTGCGAGGTGTGAGCAGGGAGCAGCCTCAAGGACAGGAGAACCCCCAGCTTTGTCACAGTGGATTAGCTCACCTTCAGCCAGATAGATTTGTACATCCCAGCCTCCAGCGGGATTGCTTATTCCAGAATGGAAAGAGTTTAGTGCTTGTTCATTTCACTGAAATACGCATTTATCTTTGTTATTTCTGTATTAAGGATTACTGGCTTGGCTGAGTGGTTCTCAAACTTTTCTGTATAATCAAAGCAGAGGGAAGTTTCACAACTTCAAGCCAGCTGTATATAAATTAATAGAACGTGGTCATTCTCAAAAAGAAGACAGTCTGAAAGTGTGGAAAGCCTGTGGAAAGTAGCGCACGGTAATTATTGTTCACTCATATACTCTGCCTATTTTAAATACGCTTTTGCTTTTTAGAAGGGCTGCTGTGCTTGCCTGTTTCAGGAAGAAACATTACAACTGCTTTCCTGTGCATTTTGCAATACCATATTTCACAATGCTCTTTCAACTCAGCAGAACATAGTGCTTTTATGGTTCAAGATTAAATATATTATTTAATATATATTTACCATTTAAGAAGCAAATATTGAGCCAAAGAACTTCAAAGCTGCAACATTCACTAATTAAACTTCCATGTATTTAAAATTGTGACTACAATAAAAGAAAAAAGCTAAATGAAAAAGTACAATTAAGTAATTTGAAAATATTATAATTAATATCTCAAGTTTGGGCTTATTTATTTTGCTCTATCCCAGTCTGCAGCACAAAAAGTCCCCTGAACTTCATCAACTTTTTTCTCACTATACTGAGTCAAAGCCCTCTGCAGCAGAAACTACTAGACTGTGTAAACATGAAATTTATTAGAGAATGCATTGCAACAGACACTCATTGTTTTCCTTTCTTGGAGGGTTAAAACACTTTCTCTTGTCCCAGCCACAAAGACAGCTTCGGCTGCAAGAATAATTTTGCCATTTGTATTTTTTGACCAAATTTTTGCAATTCATACTCCACATTATTTTCCTCTTTACTATGTTACCTGATCATTTTCCGGTTTGCCTAATAACATTAACCCCTCTTAAGTGTTACCTCTAGAAATGTTTTCTGTAGCATCACCTTCCAATGCAATTTCCTCCAAAACTCATCAATTCATAATCCAAAAGAGAGCAAAGGTTTGGACCCAGCTGCTTTGACAGCACAGCCACATGAATTGCACATGACCCTGCACACTTCTTGTTTTGTGTTTATCAAAAAGTCCTCCCACCACTGGCTCCACTTTTTTACCACTTTATTTAAACCAAACTTTATTTTAACCATTTTTTTTTTCCAGCCAAGTATTATTTCTTGACATGAAAGCAGGAAAAATTCAGAGTTGCTCAAATTGGCAGCAATACCCTGGGCAGCTGCACTGCACAGGTTAATGGTGCTTAAACTCACGAGCATTTCCTCCTTTTGATCATATCTTTCCAGAGGGAAATAGTAACTGGCAAGGTCAAACCAAATCTTTTCAAGGACGGACTTGCTAAATTACTGTGAAACTGAGGGAGGCACAGATTTTCTGGGGCCTGAGTTTATTTATATGTTGGAGAACCAGAAATAAACAAAATTCTCTTTTTTCCTCTCTCTACATACTTCTTGTATGAGTCTGAATTCCTTTGCTGCAAAAATAACTTGTTGCAGGAACAACACTCAAAGTTCAGCTTTATCTTTGCACGAGCTGAACGCTGCAGATTAAAACAGTGAAACTATTTAACACCCTCCTTAATATTTCCCCCTCCTTTTTCTCAAGTGAGGGAAGCACTACATCTCACAGAAGTAGAAAAGATCGAAGTTTTTGAGAAGAGCTGGTCTCCTGTAGACACTTGGCCTGGATATCAATGAAAACACCACCACACAGAAACATTTGCCTCCTGACATGGTGGAAAATAGAGCAGATTGCTAATACACGAACCTTTGAGGCTCAGTATCTCATATTTCTCTGGTGCAGTCACACAACCTTAGGGAAACCAGTTGTAAGATGCTACCAGTACTGGCATATGTATCAAAACACCAGTAAGAACTCGAGTATGTGGCAGTTTCTCAGGCAGAAACACAAAGTCATTTTTTCTGTTGTTTTTGTAGTTGGGTTTTTTTTTTTAGAGGGAAGGGTAGGAGGTTGTTTGTTTGTTTTGCATTTGGAAAGGAAGTGGCAGAATACCAAGGTTATTTTCATGCCAGCTTTTCATATTTCTTACCAGCTGCCTCTCAAACCCAAGAACAACCATTTAATTCCTCATTACAAAGAAAGTGTTTGGATTAAATAGCCCTAAATTCTTTGATTCTCAAGAGGAAATTCTCATATGGTAGGTACCAATTGTGATAACAATGGTGTCTGATGTGATCTGTCTACGTAGCATTCAGCTGTTACAAAAACTTCAGCAGTTCTTATTCTTATACTGACCCTGCCAAAGACATAAAGTACCAATTTTTAACCACAAAATTTTATCAAAGTCCAGGAATCAGGGAAATTCCTGCCTCTTACTACCTGGTGATCGATGGTCCATGAGTAAGATGAATTACCCTCCCTCTTTCTTCCTAAAATGAAAGAACAGTAATTAAAAGGAAAAAAAAAAAATCTACTTCGGTGCTAGATGTTACTCTGCCTGTTTACACATACAGAAGTTTTCCTCAGGCAACAAGGGATTATTTTAATCAAAGAACATACACAACATAACTCCCAGCTTTGAAAGAGCTGGAAGACACAGAATAATGAACTCATCTAACATTACAGGTAGATGAATTTTTGAATACAAGGGAAAAATCTGACTGAACTCCTCATTATGACAAAAGAAACCTTGAAAAAGAATCCCAACTGCTGATAAAATACTAAAAAAATGTCATCTTGTACTATTAACCTGTCAATAAATAGATACAGTATAATTTCAAAGCCTGTGCAAGGCAAGTTCTGTATTTCCTCTTAGTCAAATACTTTACGAAGTTGAATCCCTGACTAGATATTTGCCTTTATTACTGCTGCACTTACATTAAATAAAATTTAGAAAGAAACTCTCAGTGTGCACCCATAGTGATTTCTTAATGGGACTGCTGGCTAGAGTGACAGAGCTTTACACTGGGGGTTTTGGCCAAAGGCTTTTTAACAGTGGGACACAGAACCTGTGAACAAACATTCCAAATCCTCAGAAAATCACTGAGGTGTGACCCACCCATAGGTACATCCTAGCACATGTATCTACTACCTGGCAAAGGTCTGAACATTTATCTGGGAGACATTCCAGCAGGATACATTTTTTATCTGCAGGAAGTTTTCACCAGACAGGTCAAACT